AAAAGTTTAACTACTACAAATCCTATGACAGCTTCGATAAACAGACCCCAGGTACCCCTGAATGCATAAATATTTACTATTCATTAAAATTTCCAATGTTGCAACCAAAATTGCCAAAAAAAAAAAAAAAAATGGGTTTGAGATACAAATTAAGTATCTTAAAATATATCCTAAAGTTAGGACCATCTTAATGCACCTAAATTAGTGTCATAAAACTTCGGACATATCCAAGGAAAAATCCTACATTACGACACGTTTAATAATCCCACTTAGGACAAAGATCTGTATGTTTTCTGGTTTATTAAACCAAGGCGGACAATAATTTAATCTAAGATCGTATGCGACAACAAAATATTTGCTTTGTGATGCACCACAAAATTCTTAATATATGGAAAGTACTAATACCATTGACCTATCACAAAGAAAACATAACTTTCAGAAAGTCTGACGGTTGACATTTTTATAATTTAATGTAAATTATATGAAGATATCAAATAATAGTAAGAATAATAATTATAGCTGGTTGTACATTTTTAGGATGTTGCTCATAATTTAATTTTGATAAATAAAACAAAAAATTGCAATATTTTCTTTTACATTTTCCGAAAATTGTCAGATTGTTCATTTTTAGGGTAGTGCTACAAACACCATCACACAGCAGTATATGTAAGTAAGGATATACATGTATTTCACTATATGCGTGCACGAAAATGACTTTTGTTTAATAAATATATGCTGCAAATTCAGAATATAATATAAATACTTGTATTAAAAATTTTCAATACTTGTACATAGATACGAAGTTAATGAAGCCGATTTTTGTACATATTGTAGAATAACGGTTTTTCTAAAAAAAAAAAAAAAAAAATAATGCAACCAGGAATTATTGCATGTTGCATGTTTCCACTTAAATAAATAAAGTACATCGGTTATTTCCGAAAAGATTGAACAAATTAAAGTATTTTTAAAAATGACGGTTTTTCTCGTTAGTGTTTTAAGAGTCGTCGCTTTAGGGACTTTGCACTGTTGTTATGACATGATATTAGGCTGATATTACAATGAAATATTATATCAATATTTTTCATATGGAATTGACATGTTACATTATTTTTATTATTCAAAGATGAAAATAGCTCTTGCATTTCATTTCATTGTTAAATTATTTTTGTCAAAATGGAAAAGTAATAATTAAATTGTTTATATATAAATAACAAATGCTATTCATACTAGGACTAAAAATATATATTAAGAAATATTTATATTGAAGTTTCGATTTTCCTTTGTTATCTTCTGACATATTTGTTTCAATATATCTGAAAGATTTTTTTCGTTCCAAACTTTATGTCAAGTGTGTCCTTTATATTCAGAAAAAAATCATATCAATTAAGAATCGTCAATATTTCATTAATATTGATAAGGGCTTATGCATAAAAATTTAATGCATGATTTTCGGTACATTAATTCTTAGTTAGTCTGTATTTTTAAAAAATAACAGAATTATCATTTTTTCCTTAATCAGAAAAGTACACACATCTTTTTTCTCCTTTAAAAACTACATAGAGTACAAATAAAATATTTTATAAATAAAAGATTAAAACTGAAAAAAAAACCATCTTGATCTAAGTGAATGATTGATGGATACACATCTATGAATGATTAATGCGGAACAGTGAAAGGGGACATCGGCTCAACCAAACTATTTCAAATAAAAAAATTAGAAAAAAGACACGAACATAATTGAAAATATAATTCCCCTGTGTCGTATTATTAATTTTGAAAAGGAGTAATTTTCCTTTTCACCAAATTCTGTTCAAACATAAGTTAATCCATCATTAAAAAGCAACATTTATTTGTGAGTGAACGCATGCAAAATAAAAGAATGATCTTGAAAAATATGCATAAACAAAGAAAATGATAAAGCTTTAATGCAAAATTGCTAAAATAAGGAAGCAGGAGGGTGGTTTACAATGATACAGAAAGAACAGAAGAAGGAGATTGAGGGAACATTATCATATTTAAGAATTAAAAAAATGTGGAAGATACATTTTGTAGCAAGATTTTGAGTAATTATGCCATTTGACTGAATTTATTGTCATTTTATGGCTGTATAACCAATGGAAATGGTATATTTTATACCAAAACTGCAGTGTTTTATTAAAGTATATAGATTCAACATCTGAATCCTAAAATTTAAGACAGTTTTAAAAAGATTTGCCCTAAATCATACCTTCTCCTTTCAAAGCAGCATATACAAAAAAACATAACAGAAAATGTACGTCCAGTTTTTAATTGGTTTGATATATTATTCGTTCAGGTATAATAAATTCGTCCTGGTATTCTGAGAAGGCACTTGCGGTAGTGCATTTAGTTGTCTTTTTATTTTCGGCAAACGAGGTCGTCTACACATTCTTGTTCGAACATATTTCAGAAACTGACTGATATGCCGATAATACAATTGTTGCATTAAATAACATAAAAAAAAATGCCTTCTTACTTTAGTTTCTTTGATGCTTTGGACCTCAATTCACATAATATTCTGCCAATTTCCGGTTTCTACACATACACATGGACACCCATTGATCATTGTTCCAGCTGCCATAACTAGGTTGTACTTAAACTTCAATTTGATTTGCTAAAAGTGAACACGTGACTACATTTTTACTTACTTTGTAGATTTCAAGGATTCAAGGCCTTGATACGCATTAGAATAAAAGCGATAAATCAAAAGTGTAAAATGTCAATACTAGGAGAAAGCTTTACTTTTATCGAAACATAAAACTTTGTAGAACGAATAAGATTTATTTATAATAGTCTACAGGCTGCTCTTAAAATAAAAAGTGTTGTAACTTGCAGGTTATATAGACATATGTGATAGTATTTTTTTTTCTTTGAACTTAAGCCTTACTTTCCATGCAGTTTGTACCAATATGATTATAATGATATAAGGTATTATTGCCTACAAGACAACAACCCAACAAAGACCAAACGACTTACGTGGATGTAAGCAGCTAAAGGTCACCAATATCGTGCGTAACGTCTATTTATACGGTATTGCTTTTGATCATTGTTGAAGACCGTACGGTGACATATTATAGCTGCTTACAACTTCATTACACATGGTGTATACCCATATCTTCTTTTATTCACATAAAACAATGTGTTAAAGTATATACTGGAAAAAATATTATAACACGTGAATAAGAGAAGATATGTGTTATGCAGAAAAAACAAAACGTGAAAAATACGTATTGTGTTCTGTGAATAAAGGGACATGTGGGATATACAGTGCATGGCAAGAATGATTCGTCACCTACAATTGCTCCCATAGATTTCATATAACACTACACTTATACAAAAATATATTGTGTTGGTTGGATTTTCATCAACTTGTTACCAGAAGAAGCAGAAATTGTCACAGGTCTATTTGTGTATTGTGATAATATATGTGTTGTTAAACGTTATCATTTTCTGATGATATAAACACAAAAATTATTTTTTTATTCGAAAAAGTGCTAAAAATTTCAACCAAATTAATTGTAAAAATATATTATACATATTCACATCAAGAGAAAACCAAAATAACTGAAGAAAAAATTATGTGCAAATACACAAATATACTTCAGACAATTCTATGTCTTTATACATGGTCTGTGAAAACCATAATGCCTTCATAATATTTATTTTAAACGTAGTTCTATATGAAATATAAGTCACAACATTGTTGATGGCCATGCATTAACCGATTTATTTGTATTTGTGAAAGCCAGACATAATAAAAACATCGGAACGCTGGAGCATGCCAATGGGATAAAAACCATTAGTACTAAAAGTCCACACAATAACTATTGAGAAACTTTACGTCACTTCATAGTTCACGGATTCACTTTCATTCACGATTTATTCTATTTAATGTTTTATCAATTATTTTTTTTTAAAGGAAATCGTAGGGAAGAGGAGTAGCGCTTGTATTTTAAACTTTTTGATTAATTTACTTTCATAAGTTTTTTTTTTTTCTATTTTGTTAAAATAAAATAAAAAGACATAGAAAAAAAACAGTATGACATTTTGAGCTTAATCTTTTACAAAGCAACTTTTGTGTAAACTATCAAAGGTAGAATTGTGCATTATTTTTGTAAGAAAAGACTGCAAATTTTGTGTGATTTTACTTTTAGGACATATGGCCTAAATATGCAAAGGGGAAGTTTTAACCCTATTACATTCTGTACAAATCCAGACTATCTGGGCAATGTGTTGTCCGCTTTTGTTTGTCTTTGATTGTAAATCTTTTTTCTCGGAGAAGTCAGGTGTTTGTGGTTGATGTAGCCTCTTTACTGTCCAATATTTTTGGGAATACCCGTTATCATGTTAATGTATTATTAAAAGATTAGAAAGAACCTCGGCAGTACAGGTCTTTAGTTATGTCAAAATTTTGTCTTGTAGGGATTTCAGTGTTGATTGCAAATATTTTGTATTTTCTCTTAAAATACTCACATTTTTTCTATCCTCAGTGCGATTAAGAGCTGTTGACGTATACCGTATGTTGACTACTAGATGTCTTTCTGGATTTATGTGTTGTTGTGTTGCTGTCTCATTACATAATGCCCCACGTCTTTTTTATTTTATTTTTAATCTGATTCAGAAAAATAGGTAGTACACCTACAAAAGGCTTACAAATAACTTCTAAATTGAGGCATTTAAAATACCAAAGAAAGAAACTGTTAGTCAGAGAACAACTTAATACAGGTCTAAATTTGTCATATTTATTTACACATATTTTTAAACAAGAATGGATAACTACTGACAAAAAATTTTGCAACTTCTGAGCAAGGACCGAAGCTTATAAACCGGAGTTTTAAAAATGTTTGGAGAGCCGACGAACTTGCTTCTGAAGTTGAAAATTCTGTTCCTATTATAGAAAGTACATGTATCTAACCATCAAGAATAACTGTAATATTGAGGACGTGTTCCATGTTTCTAATATTTTTTTTTTCATATTTCAGAGAACATAAACTTCATCTTCAAGATATAAGAGGATACAAGTACTTGTGTAACTGCCTTTAATTATTCACTGTGATACAAAATGACTACATACCAAAAATCATTTTATGGACCATATGCGCATTTGGAAAAAAAATATCTCTAGTCTTCCATGGTGAAAATAGCCAAATACAAGAAATACGACGGATAGAGTTATTATTACAAAATAGCACGGAACAGATGCCAAAACAATCTGAGAATCGGGAGGATAATTTTAGCATTTCATCGTTTTGGCAACAAATATTTGTTCATGCAAGAGCGTTAAATAAAATATATTTCGAAAGAGTTTTATCTTGGAAAAAGAATAGGCTGGTGTTAAGCCACACGAAAATATCAGGAAAAAGTTTGATTACACAAAATCAACGCTAAAAAGTGAAATATAAATGAGAATCAAGAGATGTAGACACACCATTAGCAACAAAACTTTCATTTTAAGGACAGAGTGTTTGTAGAAAATGAATATCTAAGAATACAATCTTTTTTACATCAGAAAAATGAATAAAACACATTATAATCGACTTACAATTCAAATTGATAAATAAATTGCATTCCCGGCTTTATGGTACACTCTCTGATTGGTATACTGATCCTCTGGTGTATACAAGTTTATATAGAAATATGATTAACATCATATTGCATATATGTACAGGAATCTGATGTTCAGTAGTTGTCGTTTGTTGATGTGGTTCATACGTGTTTCTCGTTTCTCGTTTTTTTTTAGATTAGACCGTTGGTTTTCCCGTTTGAATGGTTTTACACTAGTAATTTTTGGGGCCTTTTATAGCTTGCTGTTCGGTGTGAGCCAAGGTTCCGTGTTGAAGACCGTACTTTGACCTATAATGGTTTACTTTTATAAATTGTGACTTGGATGGAGAGTTGTCTCATTGGCACTCATACCATATCTTCTTATATCTATAGACAAATATATGCAGTTTAAAAAGAATTCTATATTTTAAAATAATTTCAGTGTCAAGAAAATAGTTATTTCTCAAATAAAGGAATTAGAATAATATCTGTTTCATAGTATATCATATTTTAAATATTATTACCTTAAATTTTGACGCAAAAAGAGGTCTTGCATACAATATGCAAAAAAGAAATATTTTCCTTATCTCAGATATATAGCGAAAAAGTGAACTCTTACTTAATTTATATAAATAAATAATTGGGTATTCATCCTAATTTATTTATCTAGGATATTCCATATATCATTTGCGATTTGAATATTTTCCTTTAGAATATGAAAATAGGAAGTTGTGGTATGATTCCAAATGAGGAACTTTCCACCAGAGACCAATATAACGTATAAATTACGAATAAAATGTACAAGTCCTCGCATCCTTCGTCTCCAGGCACCAATATGATTAAATGTATTTATTAATATAAAAAAACCCTGGGGTGGTGTTCTCGAAGCTATCTTAGGATTAGGTCGTGTCCTAAGACCATCTTATGACACGTCTTTGTCCTAAGTCGTGTTCTCGAAGCTCTCTTAACTTAGGATACATCGCATTTTTCGTCCTAACTTTAGGACACCTAATTAGGTGTCTTAAGATCATCCTATCTTCATCCTAACTTTTTGCATGCTTTTTGCTCAATTTTTTACCTGAAGATGAACATGAAATGAAACGCATCATCGGTAATTAACTAGTATATAAAGCAATTGTGCATGATTTTAAACTTTGAACTTCGTGTTTCACAATACGATGACACTACGAATTCAATTCTCATTTCAAAACAAATTGTTTTCCAGTTTGAATTTTACAATCCTTTTTGATATTATGTTATAACTACATTTGAAACCATGCATTTAATTAAATACATGTAATTATAAAATTTCGTAAACAATTTTATTAATTGGTTTCGTCTTTAATAAATATTTTATCAAAAAAATACTTTAACTATTTAAAATTTCGCACGTAGGATATGTCTAGGACGTCCTAACATAAGATGCGTCAGAGATAGCTTCGAGACACAACTTAAGAGTGTCTTAAGATGACCCTAAGTCCATCCTAAAATTGGTATGACTTAGGACGAATCTTAGGATACTTACGAGAACACCACCCCTGATTAGTCGGATCTTCTTGACACTCCACATAACCACTTCCCGCAATTTTTACATTCACTCTGATCAGAATACCTTCATAATACTAAATTGAATGATTGTTGCTTATTTAACGTTCAGTGACAACAGGGTTGAGTTTCGTGAAGTCACGGGACTCATATTGGAGAAACGTTCCCATATTTGAAACTGGAAATAGCTTTGAATCTAACAAATTAATTGCTTTAGAAATATAATCATATTTGCAGATGTTGTATTAAGGATCATGCATGTTTCCTGTTTACAGTTGTCTATCTAATAAAGTTTTCAAGATTATAGGGAAACATAGATATCGCATTAACATAATGAGTCACAAAATAGTTCAGTCATTTTGGCATTGTTTTAGATCTTGTATTACTGAACATTTTAACTTGCACAGTTTCAGTCAATCTATTATATTTTTTAAGATACAAACCACAAATATAAGAAAATGTCCAGTTTATTGTCAATAGCTGTCGTTTAATATTGGAATTTAGGTAGATCTTTAAAACGATTTACAACCGGCAACTGACAACAACCGACACCAAGTGATGTTAAAAGCTCATTTTTAGACCTTTTTAGAGACCTTCTTCCTTTGGGGGGGGGGGGGGGGGGGGGGGGGGGTAGTATGTTGATGTGTTGCTGGTTCGTTGACTTATAAAGAATTTTTTTTTAAATTTTATTTACAAAGTTAAATGAATGAAACAAAAAATATAAAAAGGATTTAAGTAATTTGTGGTACCAAAATCCCTGACTTAATAATTTACCAGTCATACATAGATTACGCTCATTGAAATTCAAAACGTTACAACAGACACGGGCATAGCAAACGAGTTGGGATATATAAACAAAGTAAGACGGTGCCATAGGAACATCACCGTTCAAAAAAAGGAAAATTTACAATAGGGAAAGAAAAATCGTTTCCTTTTGTCGTAAATGTTTGTGTACAGAAAATGGAAATAAAAAAGGTCGAAGTCACGACTGCTAAAAATAGACTGGAAATAAAGAAAAATAATTGCAATATGTCATTTCTGTGTTATTTTGACTTTAACAGTGGTAACCAGTTGAAAAAGATATATTCAAAATTTCAAAATATTCCATGCTAGTCCAGAGGGGCAAATGCCAAATAATATATCTGAAATTTTATGAAGTTATATTTTAAGATATTTCTTCTTCAAATTCTGATTTAAAATGCTTAATAAATCTTCTTGAAGTGAATGTCACCAAAAAATATTAAAAAAAATAAAGAAACATATTCAAGACAACATCTAAAAACCAATAATATGTACAACCACTTATTTAAATTTCATAAAAATAAAACAAGTGAGCCTAAGAAAAATTACTCAGAAAAGACAAATTGCTATTTTTTCCCCTGTTTTTTCAGTCTATTTTGAGCAGTTGTGATCTCGATCTTTTTTTCTTCCCATTTTCTATATCTTCAAACTATACACGTTTCATTAAAAAGCAATAAGGATTCTAAAGTAACTTTCCCGAAACAAACTTATTATTTTTTATTTTTAGTAAAAGTGACATTGATTTTCAAGCCATTGATCTGATTTTCTTTCCATTCCCTTTATATTCCATCTATACAAATTTCAGTATAAACCAAAAAAGTTTCATCCCGAAACAATTAAAAAAAAATGTTCTTATTTACAGTGAAATTTATTTTCAACCCATTGAGCAAAAGGCAATAAACTTCTTCCCCTTCTCATATCTATATTAATACCGTTAATGTTATTCCATATGTGTAATTTGCATTCCAAGCAATCAAGAGAAACACAAGTAACCAACCGGAAACCAGTTTTTATTTTATAAATTATACCCATCTAAAGTTTACTTTGACCTTAGACTTTTAAAAATTTGAATCAAGCAAGGGATTTTTAAGTTATCACTTATTTCGGGCACACCGGACGGACGGAAGGACGAACTAAAAGAAAGACGGCCTGACAAAGCGATTATTATACGAGCCCAGAAGAAGGTTTGGGGCAATTGTCAATTAAAAATTAACCAAAAAAAAGAACCAAACCACATTTAGGTATCTCAGATATTTTTTTTTTTATTTTCTAAGAGAACACTTCGACTTCAGCAAAATTAACCACCGTTTCTTCGATAGTCTTTTCCTTTATCATCACCTTGACGTAACGTGCTACCTTTGGTTCTCTGCAGGATATGTTTACAATTTCTCCGTTTGCAGCTGGACCTTTATAATACCCACACAATTTCATACTAGATAATGAATTTCCGATGGTAACTTCTGCATTCCGGAGTCTATTGCCTGTAAAATAAATGTAAACTACACAAACCATTCAAGTAATTGTTTAATTCACTCCATTCAAGTACGTACTTGTGTGATTATTTATAGCGATTTTGTTTTTTGGATTCGTAAAATAGATAGTGTGATTTTAAATGACAAAGATTTCATGTTTTTTCTTAAGGTAATTGATTTCTTCTTTCCTATTTGTATGCACTTTTATCAATTAGTAATAAAGTGTATTTTTTTTTGTTTGTGTTTGTTTACAAAAATGGTTTAAATCATAATTTTCGAAAGTGTAAGGTCTTATTTAAGTTCATTAACCTTTTTGACATTTTAGATATACTGTTAGTTTACCGACGTTCAAGTATCTCAAGTCAGTATACAATAGACCAACATTGGAGTGAAATTAAACGGAATCTCATTAACTTCAAACGGAGTGAGATCAGGTGCCACTATCTTGGAAAAATCTGCTGCAAAAGATGTATCCCTCGTCACACGATTCTAAAGTCATACAACGTTGTATGTAACAAAGATAGGTTCCTGACAAAATTGACATTGATGGTATGAAGGTTCTGTAATTTACTTAAAACGTCAAAAGAGAGTGGAAACATTGAAACACTAAAGTGATCAGCCAATTCACGATGGTGGCCTTAGAATAAATAATCTGATACTTTTTGTCGTTTTTCTACCTTAGCTCGCTGATTTGTTTTGAAGTTAAGTGAAATCGACAAAACGTGTGCTTGTCGTATCTGGATTGTATCTAGATACTAAAGGACCAGAAGTTATTGAGTTGTCGAAATTCGTATTTGTGCAGTAAATTGGTACTGTTAATGTTCTTACTACTCAAAAATAAGACGTTACTAATATGAAAATTAAAAATCAATGTTTTTGTCATATATTCTAGCACTTACAATCATGCATATCAAGATTTCCCAGGAATATGACTGTTGTTTCAATTCGTTTGATGTATTTGAGCTTTTATATTTGCCATTTAATAAGGAACTTTCCGTTTTGAATTTTCCTTGGAGTTCGGTATTTTTGTTATTTTTCTTTTTCCTAGATGGTTAAACATTATATTTTATTGTAAAGAATTAAATAGATATTCTACAATTGTATTACAATTTTAATAGAAAACTTACCACAGCAATCTTTCCTGTTGTATATTCTGATTTTTTTTATTAAACAACTGCTTTTCAGATCAACCCACCAGTACGGGTAACTTTCCCCTTGCCAAGCACCATTCTTCATGACAATTTGTGTATGTATAAAGTTATTGAGGTCTCCATCGACAGCCTTATCACATTTATGGATTGAATGGAAAGAACTTTGTCCACACGTCTTCTTAAATGCAAGATTCTTCTTTCCACACGATCCTATTAAGCAATATAGATATGTTTAAATATACCCAAATGAAAAGGTTTGTGTCTATGTTTATGTCTACTTGATTTAAAAGCACAATGTGTTGTGTAATTTTCAAATAAAATTCTACAAATATTGAATATACATTCGACCCTTAGATATCAAAAGTAGTTTATTTGAATTTCGTCTTAAAAATGATTTGTATAAAAAATGAAAAAAAAAAAAAAAAAAAAAAAATTCATTCATTTCCCTTTATAAATCATATAATTAATATCAAAGGATATAAGTTAGTGACAGCCTTACGTAACCAAAACAACTCTAGCGAAGAATGATGTTGAAATTGACATGTCTTTAGAGGTAAAGATGTTACTCACATTGTTGAACAGTCTTTTTGGTCAAGATGACTAACATTACTATTTGTTTGGAAAAAAAATAGACAATCCGTATGTTATACCATTTTTTTCTTAAAATGTCCTGTACCAAGTCATGAATATGGCAGTTGTTATCAAATAGTTTGTTTCTATGTATGTTGGCGTTTGTTTTTGTTGCACTTCAGTGTTTCTGTTGTTCCGTTGTTTTCCTCTTATAGTTGATGTGTTTCCCTCGGTTTTAGTTTGTAACCCGGATTTGTTTTCTCTCAATCGATTTATGACTTTTGAACAGCGGTATGCTACTGTTGCCTTTATTTATAACATTAGTATCAAATGCCTTCAATTAAATATAAAATTATGCCCATACTTTACTTACCTTTATTCTGACTTTCTATAATTTCAATGCGTTCCTTCAGTTCATCAATCTTTGCCTTCAATGCATTGCTTTGGACTTTTCTCTCCAGCTCTCGAACCTTCATCTCCAGGTCTGCTTGATTTAAAAAAAAAATCATTATGTTCTGTGAAATTATTAAATGATATTAAATGATAGTCTTTAAATATTGAAAATACATTCGACCCTCAAATATTAATAGTAGTATATTTGAATTTCGTCATCTATATTTTTTGTATACAAAAGGAAAAAACAATAAACAAAAACAAAATGAAAAAAAATCTCTTTCAAAGATTTTATACTTAATATCTAATGATGCGTTTATTTACAACGACTGATCTATGCCTCTGCTGGTGGAGGTTGTCTCCCAGAGGGTATCACCAGCCCAGTAGTCAGCACATCTGTTTTGGCATGCATTATCATTGATATGTTCTAATTGTAAATTAACAGTTTACAAAACTTTAAATGTTTCGAAATACTTCTACCCAAGGAATGCCCTCCAACTTCGGACTTTATTTGGCCTTTTTTTTTCTTTTTGAGTACATTAATGAGTCAATTGTAGAGGAGACGCGCGTCTGACGTACATTTTAATATCTACGATGGGCTCATTAGAGACATCCTTACACAAACAAAAAGAAACTCGAGCGAGTGACATGTCTTTAGAGGTAAAGCTTTTACTCATATTCAATGTTATTCAAAGTTTTTTCTATGTTGAATGGTTATTTTGGTCAAATAAATCATTATAACGACTAGCAAGATGACTAACATTACTATTATTCGGAAAAGTATTAGACAATCCGTATGTGATAAAATAGTATCAAATGCCATCAATTAAATGTAATAATTATGCCCATACTTTACTCACCTATATTCTTACTTTCTATAACTTCAGTACGATTTTTAAGTTCCTCAACCTTTGTCTTCAATGCATTGCTTTTGACTTTTGACTCGAGCTCTTTAACCTTCATCTCCAACTCAGTGCTACAACTTACGTTATTGTTTCCAGTAATTGTTATGTGACAAGGCAGTCCAACGTGAACCAAACAAAGTAAAATGTAGAACAGCATTTTCGTCGCTTTTAGGACCTTGTAATAGTTTATAATACGCCGTTCTTCATTTTATTTTCTAACTTCTGTAATTTGAGCCCTGAAATGTTTCCAATAACATCTGTGTCACGCAATACAACCAACCATTATTGATTTCAACATACGTTTTTTTGTAGTTACGTCTTTTTAGTTAAGGCACTATTTCGGCATTTGAATTTGACTTCGACTAAATGGAAGTGTGATGTGTCATAATTTTTTTGACTGTTGGTTGTTGATAGTCTTATACGTTCTTCAATCAACTTAATTCAACTAATTGTCATTTCATGAATATTCCGAGGGATAGATAACAGTAAGTCCCCATGTTTGATCATAGACAGCTGCAAACAAGGAGTGGAGTGGGGAGCCAAATGACCCCTACCTTTCAAGCAGAAAAGTTTGAAAGAAAAGAAAACAATTGTTATCTAATATATAAGTTATAATTGGTAACGGTACACGTTGACAAACATTCCCATGTGTAAAATTGCAGAGTCCAGTAATATTTGAATATTAGAAGCCCCAAAAAGTAAATTATAGAAATGAAAAAGTTGTGATTGTGTCAAGTTTAGTTTTATTCCAATATGAAATGTAGGAAATTTGTATTTACATACTTCCCATATGTAGAATACAACATTTTAATAACTCTTAAAATCTATTTGATTTTACAAATAGTATGGACCGTACACACACCTTCTTATGGAATAAATGGTTGATAGTTTAGTGATAAAGATACTACTTTTATAACATTTAAGTATAAAACTGTATAGTAAACGTCAAATAGTCACGTTGTGAAGATACCTTTATAAAGATTTACTACAGATACTTGCTACTTACAAAAAAAAAACTTGCTCTACCAGAAATACCGACACGACGTAACTTTTACGGTCATTATCGTTAAATGGTTGACCGATACGATGTATTTGTGTCTTAACTCACTAACCACATGTTTTGCTGTCGGATCTGTTATTCTATCGATTGTGCCCATGCTTGATTGGAACATTTTGCCTTAATGTAGATTCTAATTAGCATCATTGGGGGAGGGGGCATGCATACCAGGAGACGATTACTTTTTCGACGCACCATGTCTTGCTCTTTTTTCCATCTTGGCAAGTCATTATAATGACCTATTTGAGCCCCCCCCCCCCCCCCCCCCCCAAAAAAAAAAAAAACCACTCATGCAATGTCCTTATGTTTTGAATGTAACCTTAATTCATTTATGATTTGTTCGGTTTTGTTCGGTTTTTGTTTCATTTTATTGTTTTGCGTTTTTTAAATATTTTAGATTTCAGGTGATAACCCTCTGTTTTACAACAATGTATTAACAATAGAATATGCAGAGAGATATATTAGATATATCCGAGTGAATTACAAGCATGATCAACCGTATTCATTGTAAAAATTGAAAGAATGAAAATTACTAAATTACATTTTTTGAACTTACACACGCTTGTGTCAATTAAATACCGACTATCACCCTCCTAATCAAGTGATTCTTGTCACAAAAAAAAACTAAATCCAATTGGCTAAGAATTTACTTCCTTAACGTCATACTAGCAAAATCTTAGGATTTGGAGTTCGGAAGGATTTTTCTGATTTGACAGGCATTTGACATAATCGTCTACCTGTAATATAAAGTGTGCAAAAAATCCCATTAATACAGAAAAGGGATCTGATTACAGAAAAAGTGACTTTTTTTTTTGCAATGCCTTGAATAGATATCTAATGTTCACTTTTCTGGTAAGTTTATACTATCATACTTAAACTTATTCTATTAATCAAAACATTCCGATTCACATGTTGCAAAAGTGTATGTTTATTTTTGTTTTAAGAATCTGTAATTCAACACCCCTCTAGTATCACCATTTCACAAAAAAATCTTTATTATTCTATTCAATGTAAGTTAAAACACATGATCATGATAAATAAGTAGACATTCGTTCTTAATATTATCTAACAGTTCATACTTTAAACTACACTTTCAGAAATGGTTGACAAACATATATACCATCAAGTCCAGGGCTATTCCTACATTTAATAATCAAAGCTCTAGCTTTTACCTTCAAGAATAGTGAATTTCAAATCAAAATTAAATTATTTTATCAGTGTCATTAACTTACTCAAAACCTAAAATTTGAACGTAATTTCATTCAGAACAGATTAAAAACTATCATTCATTCATATTGATATTTTCCTGTTAAAATATAAAGAAACTAAGATTACAACTCCCTCAGGCAAAGTTGACCTTCGATAGATTTGGCTATTTTTTTATGTCGCTTTTGGTCATATAGCTCTTCAACTATTTCGGTTCTTATACATCCTTGGCTTTCAAATATTCGGCTTTTAGCGTTCCTGATGAAGCTAAATCCAGAAAAGCGCTTATGACGTGAAATTTATAACGTGTTGTTTTCATATTTTATATATATATGATTATTCATAAAGGTAGCAGCTCAAAGTAATTTGCATTTAAACTATACAATACAATAAATTGGTGTTTTTTCGAATGTGTATTATTTTCACTTTGTTTATAACTGTTGACAAAAGAGATATTTGTGCTGTGTATTTTAAAAAAATATTTGGGATGTTCGCTGCTCTTTTTTTTACTTTTTGTCAAATATTCGGAATCCTCTGGTGTTATCCATGAAGTGCGATAAAATCTTTTGCCCGCTACCCATACTTTTCTTTCCTTAATATTTAATTCATGTAGTTTAAAAAGCTATTTTCAATATCTAGAATCTAGAGAAATTCATTTCCTGCCAAATTTGCAATGGCTTATATCTCAAAAACAAGAACAAGCGCCTTTCAATTTTTTTTTCTTTTTTAGCTCTGATATTTATACACTATGAATTTATGACAGCTTGTTTTTGTAACCGAGAAGCAAATATCCTTAATGGTTAGCTTTTGATTTTTGTCAAAATGATAACGATTGGCACATTGTTATATTGGTTTTCAATTTTCTGGCTGTAAAACACAAATTCTAAATTTACATTGAACCGTAAGGTATGTATATGAAATAATACCAATTCTATCAATATTATCTATATATAAAAATAGATGACGTCAGACGTTAATGGAAACAGTATAAATATATTTGCAATAAAAAATAGAAAAGATATCAAGGTTGAAATAAAATATAGTTAGTCAAATAAAATAGATAACACCAAGGCCAAAAAGAAAACGACGAAAAAAAATGACTGTAACGATTGACAAACACCAAATAAACTTTTTCAAGGCTTATTTTAAATGAGAAATGTGTACATATTTCCTAGGTTACAACGTTCATTTGAGATTTCAACTGACAATTATGGCATTTTGCCTTAACCTTATTTTGCACCACTTTTTGGAATTTTTAATTTCTTTTCAACTACGTATTTGATTTGGCCTTCCAACTGCTTTGATTCGAGCGTCACTGATGAGTCTGATGTAGACGAAATAAGCATCTGGTGCACAAAATTTCAGCCTGGTATCTTTGAAGAATTTTACCTGCAAGATGGTGGTCGATGACGGTAATATTTTTATGTGAATATAAAAAGTCTAAACGGTTCAAGCTGTCTTATTATCGGATGTAATGTAACTCTGAAATATTTTGCAAGTGCATTTTCCCAATCCGCTAAAATGATAGAAATAAAAAATTAACTTTCAAATTTGATTTTAAGCTCTCGAAACAAAGCTGACATGATATATGGTATCCAGAGATAAGGGTTTGTGTTGTATATTCCTAAGTTAGTGGGTTAACATTTATCATTTGACATTTGTATCACTTTCTGTAAGATATAGGATCATATGATTATGTATTTGTTACCATATTTATTCATTTATTTTTTTCTTTATCTATATTTGTATAATCATTATAAAAAAGTGGCGAAAGATTCCAAAGGGTCATGGCAAACGAAAAACGACGAAAAGACAAACAACAGTACACAAAACACAGCATAGAAAACTAAAGACTATAAATTCCTCCTATTCGACAATTCATTTTTTTATTATTCATGATACATACCATTCGTGAATGTAAAAACTTTTAATTTTTTTCTAACGATGTTCATGATATCATGAAGTCATATCGCACTGAATATTTTACTAGTGATAATTGTACACTAAGAATGATTATGCACAGGGAATGTTAGAATAATGTTTTTGTTTTAAATTTATATTATCTATTTGGTTTGATTTAATGTCGCGAATAATCAATCATTTACCTAACTAGTGAGTACCTTTATCATATTTTTATGGATACAGGGGGGTTTAGCATTAGCAACACATGTCATGAATCACGGGGCCCTTATACAGCACCTAAACCCCTAGATTTCGTAAGGTTCCCTATACTCAAATCCTCTGCACTCAAGAACAATTTCAATGGTCCTGATGACTTGTGATAATTTTCTTAATAGTCAATCTTATGAAACGATACCACTTTTATTACACAGGAAGTGCATTTAAAGATGGATGGCAATTTTTCAAAATTTACCTTGGAGTTCGGTATTTTTGTTGATACTTTTTTCAGATTTGCTCGAGACGAAAATATTTTAAAACCAAAACCTAACAGAAACTTTGAAGACATATCCGAAAAGGAACAAAAGTATTGCTAACAGCCGAATCAGAACAAAAAGCTGCAGTTTCTGGAAACAATTTTGGATTGCATTTTCAAATTTATTCTCCATCGAAACCAAAAGGCTAAACGTTCTTAACTTTTCAGGATTAATGATTAGGAAGATCTACAAAGACAATAAAAAAAACAAAAAAACGTTAAATGGTGATTGAATGATGATATAAATGTCAGCTATGGAGCAATATAGAATTTCCCTAATTTAGCCATATCGGAAGTCTTGAAAATTTTGAAAATTTCACCTGGTTGTTTAAATTGAATTAACTTGGCAGGAACAGTGCTATGTTATGGAAGATTCTTGAATAAATCCTCTTTTCATTCCAAAAATCGGGACAACCCATTCATAATCAGATTTCTTTAATTATCATTATCAAAGATGAAAGAAAATATAATTCATAATGTTTTAAACAATCAATGAATAGACGGTACAAATTCTGCAGAATAGACAAAGAAACTTTGAATAGGTTAATTAAGTAAGAGTTGGCATTTGTTCATATTTGGCAAAAAACTGACGAGCCGAGAGTTTTTTTTTAACTACCCTAATTTCCTGATTCATCTTTTTAGGAGTAAAATTTAGAAGTTAAGACTCCAAATTTTTATTCCGCAGCGATGGAAATGTTGCAAGCTCTTCTCTTTCTGATACTTCTGCTTGGATATACAGAAGCCCAGACTAACCGTAAGTATCCAAATTCTCTAAAATTTTATATACACCGACAATTTTTTTAGGTTAAAATATTAGACTGCTTTTTCCTATTCTTAAACTATTAAGTGCCATTAAGATTTATCTTATTAGCGTAATCTTACATCACTAGCTGTTGTTATGAACCACAGTTATGCATATGAAAATTTTATTTGTATTTTCCAGTGCACATCTATGTAAATTCAGTATCATAATTTATTCGTTAGTTTGTTGTGTTTTAAAGTTGTAAAATTTACGATTGAGAATCAAATTAATTTGACTTTCCATGTTTTTTAATTTCAATATTCGCTAATGCATAGTCATAAATGTTGGAAACTTGCATATCAGAAGGCAAGGAAATCTTATATGCCTTAGACAAATTAATAGCATTTAAAGAAACCGAGGTTCCAATTCCCTCAGGCGAAGTTGACTTCAGAGGAATTTTGCTAAACATTTTAGGTTCCTTTTGGTCATAAAGCTTCTAACGTTTATATGTTTTATATATCCCTGGCTTTTAAATGTTTTTGTTTGAGATTTTCGATATGGTTAATTCAGAAAAGCTCTCCGGACGCACAAAATCTATTTTCATTTAATATTGAACCTTTAATTTAAACTGAAAATTTAATTAGAATTAAAACTAACACATAAAGACCATCAATAGGTAATAATATATCTTTTGCTGGTATTTGAATATTTTAAAGATGGAGATATCATCGACAGTATTATATAAATGTATTTACATGTACATATATATAATTTTTTTACGGAAGAGTTCAGTATATACTAAATAACATTAACGGTACCAAATTTACTGCACTAGATTTCTATTCAGTGCCGATCGAGGTCAAACTATTTAAAAATCAAGACCTAATTCAAAAGTTTAAAGAGCCGATAAAACCATCAACCCAAAAATTTTAAAAAAATTAGTTAAAACAAAAACGTTCGTTACACCAACACTACTTTAAGTTGCGGTTATCTAAATAAAAAAAAACCCAAATGGTTACTAACAGTCTTATTTAGTACTTGCAGAATGCAAATTGTTTGATAAAGCCTTTAAAATCAGAGCATAACTTATCATTCTCCCTTTAGCATGCGAATCGACAGCTGTATCAAGTAGCTCTGGAGGAACACCTACCATTATTGTTACACTGACCGAAGCAAGTGAAGCAGGTATGTTCTATAATGAGTATATTTGGTCACTGTTCTTGCAGCTGTTAAATTATCTACTCGTATAAAATATCGTAGGTTCATACATCTATGTTAACCTAGTCTTGCATTGACAGAATGACTTGATTTTCTTCATGTAGATATTTATTTGATCTGCTTATAGCTTAATTTTTGACATGAGTTTCCCAATTTCATAATAACTTTCACATGCACAAGTCAATTTGCTTTCAGAAGATTTAATACTGTTAAATTACAGCTGTTAATAATACTTACATATCATTGTATATGAATCAATTTATTTGACATGTATGTCTTATACACGTATAACTTTGAGTGGATTCTTGGTAATCATTTCCAATTGTGACATGTTGACCGAGTGTGGATTTCCATGGTTGGTGATGCATTATAGCAGGAGACGCTTACCCTGTCAACACACCCGGCCTTGTTCCTTTTGGGGTTCATACGGTTCCTTCAGTTTTTGTTTGTTATTTTGATTTTTCTTCTTAACCAACCAACACATGAGATTTTAATATTGATAAAATGCCCATAATATATCAATATCATATTATCTGTATGTACTTTTAGCTACAAATTTTTTTGTGTGTGAGACTGTGTCAAATTTACTATCAACTATTATAACCTTTTTGCTGGCGTCTTTGTTAGATTTATTTGTAAGTTTGTTTGAATTGTTTAGTCAGTTGTGTTGTAGGTCTGTGATGTATGTTTACACAGTTTTGGCTGCGGCGTGTTTATACAACGAAAGATTTGTATAAACTCTTCCGTTGTATAAACATACTATTATTCTGACATTAAGCTATTATGTCTGTTTGGATTGTTCACCCAATTTTGTCAATATAACGGAACTTTAAACAACTGTCTTACAAAAGGGAGGTTTAGCTAGCTATAAAATCAGGTTTAACCCACCAATTTCTTCGGAAAATGCCTAAACCAAGTCAGGAATATGACAGTTGTTTTCCATTCTTTCCGTTGGTTGATAAAGTCTAACGTTTGATTTTGTCAGTTTTTATGGACTTCCCCTTTTTGTATTTACCTTGGAGTTCGGTAGTTTTGTTATACATTTTATCATCCTATATTTTCACATTTCTGTTATTAAACACAATTACACAAATTATGATAATTTTTAAAGATGGTGTTTCAACAGAGATACCCTGAATAAAATGTGATTTTATTACTAATATTCTTCAGATCTAGCAACAAATCCAGACAATTATATTGCTGACACAAAGATTAATGGTTTACTTGGTGGAAGCAGTCAATTTACGGGTATCACACTGGAAATATCAAGGTCCTCTGGTACTCCCAGTTATATCAATGTGACAAACCAGTTCAGATTAGAGTCACGTCACATTACAACTGAAAATGGCTTTTCACAGAGAGCTTTTTTCCGTCTTGTTAAGCCTTTAGACAGAGATGTTAGTTCAAATAATGTAATATTGTAAGAGAAAATTACGTAACAAAACTTTTTTTTGAAGCAGAACACTTTGGTATTTTTTTATTTTCATTGTATTTTTTTATGATTAGAAAAACAAAAACTTTTAACGTTAATAATCCCAAATCTATTGCTGACAACATTTTGAAAAAAAAAGTATATTGTGTTCATTTACATTTTAATCAAGCCTTGTATGAATGATACATATTTCTTTTATTAATTCTAAGTAATTAGATAAACATAAATTATTCAAAACTAGGCTTGTATTATCTTCAAAATTTATTTGTGTTTTTTTCATAGGGTCAGACAGCAACTACATTTGATGATACAAATATCATTGTATTTCAAGTCAAATGTACTCGAGTGGTGAGTTGATATTGTCTTAAAGTTTCTTTGATACAGATATAGAACGCACAAAAAGCTCGCGATAGAGCTAAAAGTCATTCACGAAAGTCATGCTGATGATTATTGGTTTGATTCACTGTGAAATTCCAATATTCAATACATATAATATGGCAGGGTAGTATAAACTAATTTTAGCCAGGTTTGTAGTTTGATATGACAGACGCACGTTCCGTTTATATAAGACTCATCAGTGGTGCTCGAATCAAAACAGTTGGTAGTCGAAATCAAATACATATAGTTAAAGAGCACTGAAAACCAAAAATATCAAAAAATTGTGCTAAATACGATTAAGGATATATAAGCCTGGGGTAGAAAAACCTTCGTGTTTTGAATAATAACTTTTTAAAACCCTATACATTTACACGAAATTACCGTATTATTGATATTTCATGTCAACATATCCCAGGTTAGGCGGAGGGTTGAGCGCTCACAAACATGTCTAACACAGCCAAATTCTTTATGTGTCTGTCCCAAGTCAGGAGCCTGAAGTTCAGTGGTTGTCGTTGGTTCATGTCGGGCATGATTTTTTTCGTAAATTGTTTTGTTATAAATTTGGCCGTTAGTTTTCTCAATTGAATTGTTTCATATTTTTTTTTATGTCGGGGCTTTTTATAGCCGACTATACGGTATGGGTTTTTCTCATTGTTGAAGACAGTACAATTGCCTATAATAGCTTACATCTACTTCATTTGATCTTCGGTGGATAGTTATCTCATTGGCAATCATACCTCATCTCCTTATTGTTATATAGAAGTGCTGACTACTTGGTTTGTGATAAGCGCGTGGACGAAACGTCCACCAGCAATGGGACCAGACCAATGGTTGTAAAACTCATCAAACATCTCAGGCTTATAATTTGGTAATGAAGACGCGCGTTGGGTCTACTAAGACTACTACTAATCAGTGGCGCTCTCAGTTGAAGAGTATTAAATACCAAAAATCCATTAAAGTTGTGGATATCAATGCCAGGGATGCAGAAAATTTTAGTGTTTTGCATAATTTGAAATTTTGTGAAAAGAAAATTTACAGAAAATTACATTATTACTGATATTTTAAGTCAACACAGAAATGTTATAGTATTTGAGTTTTTTTTTATAACTGACAGTCACCAGATATTACCAATTTTACAATGATTATAATTTAAACCCAGCTAGATTGATTTATTGCTGAATCACCTTGTACGCACAATATAAATGATAGAATATGACATAAACAATAACATAAAGCAGTTGTTAACAATTTTATCCAAATGCAGAAAACACAGAACAAGAAAAAATGAATATATTTTTTTTTCAGGGTTCAACATTGTCTACATTTTTCTTGTTTACAGTAGATGTACAAGACATCAATGATAACAGTCCGGTTTTTTCTGGTACCCCATATTACGTCAGTGTTAATGAGGTAAGTCTAGTTTCCCTCCCCATTCAACGAGGTTAATGAATTTAAACTTATTTTTGGTTATTCTATACCTAGCCATTGTTAATAGGATGAGTGATTTTTTTCTCTGGTTCTACATATCTAGCCACTCTTGATGATGTAAGTCTCTGTTTCCATATATTCAGATAATGTTTATATATATGAAAAACATGGGGAATTTATGTCTTTGAAACTGACTTTATCAGCAAGAATATCAAGCGAGGCTGGAAGGGAGAGCTGATATACGACCTGATGAAGTCAGTATATTGAAATAAAATGCTATAATTTTTTTATCAGCAATTTTCGTCTTTACAATATGCTTTTTGGTTGAGTACACGCGTACAAAACATTGTGGTAGTGATTCAGTGGTATGAATGACGTCGCGTACATTTCATTGATAAGTTGACGCGGATGGACATGAACGCGTAACGTTGCTTCACTGTAACGTGACGTCATTGTCTAATATTTTCGAGTATCAGGTCCTGTACGTGATATAGAAAAATATTATGCATTAAGATAATTAGAAAAATGTACAAATCACCGATTATATTCAGTATAGTACCATATACCTTGGCAGTGCTAATGGGACACTTCTTACTTTCTCTGATACAAGTATACCATACTAAAGCATGGTAATTCAGATAAAAATTTTATCTATAGACAGTGTTTATAAAGTATGCATGTTTTCAGGGGTATCACATAATAAGGTAAACATTTGATGGTAATATAACAGTCATGTTTTTTTTATCATATCAATTTTTAGCCCAATTTTATATGGCAATACGGGAGCCTTCAAATTCCTGTGTGTTAAATGTGCATGCTGAAAAAAAGGTGAATCATATTGATTAAGCGCTTTCTTATGAAACAACGGTTCCTCATAATGTTTTGCTAGCTTATAAGGTGGTAACTCGAGACATGTGACCTTTTTTCAAATTTTCAGAGCGAACCAGTATGTTGTCATTAATAACTACAGGTGATACTTACTGAACTGAATCAAATGTTTTATATTTCTGGAAAAATTAAACATTATCAACTACATGTATAAGTATGTGATGATATCTTAAATCAAGTGGTTATATTATTTTCAGTTGTCACCATTAGGAACAACAGTATTTAGAGGAATTGGTGCTTTTGATTTGGATGCTAATACAAACAAGGATATACATTTTGGCATATTGCCTGGAGATGGAATAGTGAGTTCACTTATGTACATACACACAAGGTGGTTTTTGAAAAAAAAATCACTTTTCCTAAGGAAGTGTAAATCTTAGGAAACAGGGTGATTGCTGATGATTTAGATGAGAACGCTTATTTTTGCACTTTCATATACTATATTTTTGATGTACAGAGATGTTTTTTTTTCAAATGTAAATTATTCGAACATACTCAAACGTCCGAGAATAAACGAGCTTTGGTCATCTATGCCCTCATGTCATTGCTAGAGGAAACGTCTTTAGAAATATGTGCTTGAGACCAAATGCGAATTCGTCATTTAACCGTCAATTATTCAATAGATCGAAGTCAATAGAATGATATGAACCGCTTAAAGAATTAATAACTGCTACCCTTGAATTAGGAATGTAAAATCGGAGTTAAGGGAAGTGGTTAAAAAAAGAAGAAAATCAGCAGAAAATAAGAAATATCTTATATGTATAAAACATCAAAACCTAAGGTCGGTCGGAGACAGACTAAGTGTCCCCTTTGGAAAAGTAGTGCGTATCTTTTGTGAACCGTCTTTTTCTAAAAGTGCTGAAAACAATGACCCCCTCTGTATGCCCCTTTGTACACCAACGAGTACACATTGAACATAGGTCATCACCTTTGTTTACCGTGTACCGCACGGTTAAAATTTACAAAATGACTGTAAGTCATACCGTTTTGTTGTATAGTTGAATAAGATGCATTTAACACAATGGCATGAAGTCTTGTCGGTCGTCTCTGACTCTTTGTGTACAAATGTGGAAGACAACAACCGGATGTTATTCTCCTTTGTCTAGGATAATAAGAACACAATGACCCTAGGTTTTCTTTCTTTGTGAAGATTAAGTAAACCCATTTGTATATTAATGCATAACACAATGACACAAGATAATTCTACTTTGTCTTGTTTATTATATTTGTTATATAATCATTCTTTTTTAGGGTGAATGATTTTTGCCTATTCTATGTTCATTCTATACGACAACAGATCATTGGGGTTTGTATATGTACTTTTCCGGTGTGTGATTTCATGCAATGACCTCCGGATATTGTGTTCTACAATAAGATACAAAGTGGTAACATGGGTAATTGTTTTCAGCACTATTGTGCAAATGGGACTGGCCTGAGTTTCTTTGTTTTATACACGTAACATATATAAAAAATGGTATTGACAGTACCAATTTAACAATCCATCAGCAGAGATATTGACCCAGTGGTAGTAATGGTATTAACGGTACCAATGTAACTGCACCAGATGCACATATCGACAATATATGCTAGAGAAATAGATATTTGAAAATCCAAAACCTCTTAAAAAATTGAAGAGCTGATTAAACCAAAGAGGACAAAAAGTATGGGCTGGTGATATCCTCAGGGACTAACAGTCCACCAGCAGAGGTATCGACTCAGTGGTAGTAGTAATACTCACGGTGCCAATGTTACTGCACCACATGCCAATTTTTACAATATATGTTTCTTCTATGTACTTGAGGGCTAAATATTTGAAAATCAAACACTTATTAAAAAATTGAAGAGCTGGGATCTTCAATTTTCAACTCAATTCAAGATGTTCATTTTCATCCCCTCCCACTCACCCTGAATGGGATTGATCTTGTCCTGACGACATCTAGAATATTTGGTGATTATAAAACGAAATTAAAATTGTCAAGGGCATTTAGTCTGAAGAACATATATTTATGACATTTTCGGTGATCGTGACGTCGGATTATGAATGACATAACATCAATTGTTACTGAACGTTTTGGGAATAAATGAATAACATACATTTACCAACTGTCAGAGTGACAAGTCTATAACATGAGTGTTAAGTAAATGAATCACCTTGGGTTTATTGTAGGACAGCGCTTCCTAGTGTTTATGAAAGCTTAAAATAACGTTTGCGTTTGCTGTATATCGCTTTACATGAAAGCTTTATTCAAAACAATCAGTTGTTCTATCTATATTATGTGGTAACTTTAACATGGTGTAAACGTTATAGAGTGTACCTAGGATTTAACATTATATACCAAAAGAGATTTTGCAGAACTGAAGTATTTAGATGCCTTTTACGCATCAAAGTAACCATGTACATGCGATACAGTTAAGATGAGTATCTTTTATTCTGATCAGATGACTCAATCAATGTATTGATTAAAATCAAAAAGTGTTAATTTTTCATTTGTACTAGGTTTCTTATACATGCCTAATTTTCATACAAAACATCGAAGTACTGAAAAATTATTTTTAAAGATATAAATCAGAACAAAATGTAGCTTCGAGATTCGAGTGTACCTTACTACTTTCGATTACACGTTAACTACTTAAGAATAATACTGAACTCGTGTCGTTAAATAATATCTGCAGCTTTCCTGATGTATTAGTACATTAAGTAAGATTGTGGAGAAATAGTTCATTTTGGCATTTGCACAAGAAACATTTTGGCGAAATGTTAAATATTCCTATTTGGCTATTTATAATTCCTATGGGCATGCAAGCTTGGAGCATTTCATATCATGCGATTCGCTACGATACATGTTTGTGTTCGTTAAACAATGTGTGAGTATGTTGCTTTGCTTATTTATTCCTAAAAAGTACTCTGACGGAAATCAGAAAAAAAATCGTTTTAATTAAAGACAAATAGTCACCAAACAACTGATTTCGGTAGGTATATTTTATTTTGGATCGTGAAGATGCATAAATAAAATCAAATTGAAAAACATTTCAACACAAATATAAGAGATTGTTCTGTGAAAAGCATTTACTTGTTTCTATCTCTGCCCCGTCAACAGTATTTAAAAAAAATCCTTAAAATTGGTAACAATCTTATCATGTTAAGAAAGTCAGGTACACTTTTTATAATCAAGCGTGTTTGGGTACACTATTTTTTCCTTGAAATGTATAATACAGCAACAAAGAGTATATCATATCGCATCAAATTCCACTATTTCTATATTTCTATATTTCAAATTTCATATTACAAGAAAACAAAATATATGGGTCAAATAAAATATCTTACAACTGAGTCATAATAACAGGATTGGCGTGTTTCAATATGAAAATAACCTTGTGCTAAATTGTTAAACGTCTTTCTCGTAAATGCCTTTGATTTTATTTTATCAATTATTAAAATAAAGTCTAGATATATTAATTATCTTTTTCATGAAAATGTACTTTAAGATAGAAGTCGAACGTTCATCTCTTCTTCCCTTTTTATGCCGAAAACACTTGACGAGCCTTTACTTTTGGATCTTTATAAGCTAAAATAATCACTTCTTTATAAATGTTTTCAGTAGCTATTGGCCTTCAACTTCTGAAAATTTCTTGTTTGCCTTTTCACAAAATATTTTCATATAAAATTTATGAATAGTAGTGTTTTACATGTTTTATTGAACTTTTCAAAATTCGCCCTGACAAACAATTTGACAATAACTTTAAGTATTGTAAAGACACACGCATATATTGAATGAAGAAACATTTGTCTTTCCGAATACAACTTTCACAGACGGATAGTTATGGTGCACTGCGAATAAAATGAACGAAAATGCGTCATTTCTACACGAGTATCTCTCGTGGTAAAAGTATTTTGTTCATTTATTCCATTTCCCCCCACCTTACAAGACCTATCTATTGTAATTATTGATATTTTTTATTCGTCCTGAATATAAAATGTTTGTCAGAAGACATTAAACAAACAACAATCAATCATGATATATAGGCATCTCTGTATCCAGTAGGATTTACTGAATTTTAAAGTTTCGTTAGTAAATGTACAGATATATATAGGCTGTTGATTTCTAGCGCTTTAAAATGTTGTGCTGAAAAGGAGCAACCACGTTTTGCTCTCCCTATCATTAAGAGCCTTGAATGTTGCACACATGACAACCCACCCCTATAATCCATTGTCTATGTTTTTTGTATATATTTAAGTATTCACCCCTTTCAAAGCGGTTCATATTGGTTTTAACATCTTTCCCCTCCCCCAAATTACAAACACTTCAGAGATTTAATTATACGTCAAATACGTCCTGGAAATATTCCATTTTTACTCCACGTGCTATGCACAACATTTGATTAGTCGACTTTATCAGTAAACTTTGTGGATACATCGGATACGTTGGAAGAACATTCCATTTGTGATGTTGTTATTTCATTGGCTGTCCAATACGTATAGAAGCTTCACAGTAAGGTTCCATTCTATTTACCGTTCGTATCAAGCAGACATTGCTCGGCTTTAGTGTACTCGTCATCTGATTGGTTTAGCTATACGTAAGGTTGATTACAGAAACTGTTCTGTAATATTCTATTGTAAGTCTCCATGGAGTGGTATTCAATCAATCTTGCATTATGTTTCATGTGATAAATTTGTGAATTTTTTTTATGTAAGCGTCAAAATGTGAAAATAACAGTATCTTAAGCACGACTATGTGTAGGATCTCATTAGACAACGTTGAATTCAAACACGCCTTAATTTAAAGGTTAAGAAAGTTGAGCACACATTTAACATGATGTGTGTTTGAGTTAAAGCTTTCTCCGGAAAAAATGACATAAGAAATCAAATCTCAATTTGTGTTCTGTTATTTTCACATTTAAGCGCTAAATGACTTTCAACCGGTAATAATGACTTATATAAATAAGTGAAATACCATGAGTGAACATTACAACTTGAGTGTTTTTAATTTAAATCCCTTATATCTGTTACTTAATAGACAAATTATTTTCAATTACAAGATCTTTCTATTCAAGTTTATCTTATTACTCTTCCACTCAACAGTTTCATCATAAAAAAAATTGTAAATACTTGTTCGAAGTTCTGAAATATCTGAAATATATTAAGTTGTGAATAAATGTTATTCATGATTGTAACAAATTGGACTGTTATAAGTATATGCTTAATTTTATGGATACGTCGGTGGAACATCCCATTTTTGATGCTGTAATTTCAGTGGCTGCTCGATACGTACAGAAGCTTCTCAGGAAAATTCCATTGTGTTTGCCGTGCTCATCAAGCGGGCCTTGCTCTGCTTTAGTGTACTCGTCTTCTTTTTGGTTTAGGTATACATATAGTGGATTATAGAAGCTTTTTCATTTTAAGTCTCCAGGAAGTAATATTTATTTATTTTTGCTCGGCTTTTATATGATAAATATTTGGGTTTTATGTATTAAAATCTAACTTAAGCGTCAAAACGTGAAAATAAAAACAAACAGTATCAAAAACAAGGATATATGGGTTCTCATTAGACAATGCTGAACCCAAAAAACTCATCATTTTAAAAGATAAAAAAATTGATCATATCTGTTATGGTCCAGTTGAGTTCTATAAATCTTCAAAACTAAACTAAAAATTCTCGATTTTCATATATGGTAGCTGCATTTATATTCCATATTTTTCTTGTTGTCATACGAACTATGATTATTTTTTTGCCAGAAGTTTTTGTCAATAAATAATGAAGTTGCCCATTTGGTCTTTATAGTGAATTCGTACTTAACAGTCTTACAAGAACAGCCATTCATTTATTCTTAGCAGTACCATTCACTTAACTACAAATGGAATACTCTTGATCTCCATTCATATTTAAATTCTGTTGTTTACAAGTATAAACAGAACATCTGACCAGTTGCTGCCACTGTCAGCTCGTTTTCTCCATTAGTTTTTTTTAACTTGTTAACAAATTTTTAACATTAGACCTAAAGGACGACTTAATTACTTAAGCAAACATTCTGAAATTAATTGTCAGAGCTCGTTTACAACATAGATAAATATGCACTGCAAAAAAAGCAATGTAATTAAAAGATCTGATTTTTGATAATTCATTTTAAAAAAAAATTTATAGAATTTAAACGGAATTTTCAGGAATTTGTCAAACTTCGGTTTCATCGTTAAAAAGACCAACGAAATACTACATTAAAACTATATTTTTCGAGTGCGAGTCTTTTTTTTTACAGAACGTCAACCCTTCATGTAAGGATAAAGGAATGACAAATTCGTGTATATTACGAGTACAATATAATACACATTTTAGCATATTCCGAAATACTTCATATACGTTCCGTCATATACGAATACGTCCTTGATACGTGAGTTCTGCAACAGCTCTATTAAAGCCTTCTGTAAAATTATCATGATGTGTTTTCAATGTTTTGCCACTAAAGATTGGAATGTAACTACTTATCATGAACATATATATTTAGTAAATAAAAGTATCATTAGCATGGAGACATTCATGACCTGTAAGTTCAAAATTTAAATGACTTGTCAATGTGAGAAGGAGTTGAAGGGATAAAACTGCAATTATAGTGGATAATCTAAGTCCACTATGCTTTGTCTGCACATGCATAAGATTTTGCTTAAAAACCTATTATGGTAAAAGATAAATTGCAAATAAACATGTTCATTTAATAATACTTAAAAAGGATAAAAGGAATAACCAAAAGTACTGAACAGCATAACAGACAAAACCTTCCACAAACACCCGACTCCTGCGAAAAGAACCAGATGAACAAAAAAGACAAACAACAACGAACATCAATTTTATAACAACATGTACCTGGAAAAGTACCTTTGCAATTTTTTTAGGGACTGAGATTGCATTGGACATTACGCAAAAGCACTTTAAGTTTGCAAACTAGTTTAAATGAAATGTGATCAAAGGTCTGAGCCTTTTCAATGTTTCATTGGCTAATGCTTGTTAATACTGAGATTGTCGATATTTTTGTCATATATACACACTTGTAGTTTAATGCACGTACAGGAAAATAAGCAATATATTGACTCTGGTTGAGAAAAAAAAATCTACTTCTATAAAAAAAAAATACTATTAAAATTGAGAATGGAAATGGGGAATGTGTCAAAGAGACAACAACCCGACCACAGAACAGACAACAGCAGAAGGCCACCAACATGTCTTCAATGCAGCGAGAAATTCCCGCACCCGGAGGCGTCCTTCAGCTGGCCCCTAAACAAATATATATACTAGTTCAGTGATAATGAACGCCTTACTAAACTCCAAATTGTACACAAGAAACTAAAATTAAAAATAATACAAGACTAATAAAGGCTAGAGGCTCCTGACTTGGGACAGGCGCAAAAATGCGGCGGGGTTAAACATGTTTATGAGATCTCAACCCTCCCCCTATACCTCTAGCCAATGTAGAAAAGTAAACGCATAACAATACGCACATTAAAATTCAGTTCAAGAGAAGTCCGAGTCTGATGTCAGAAGATGTAACCAAAGAAAATAAACAAAATGACAATAATACATAAATAACAACAGACTACTAGCAGTTAACTGACATGCCAGCTCCAGACTTCAATTAAACTGATTAAACTGAACAATTAGCACATTTTCAATTAATGTTTAACTTAAAGTTATCGAATGGAAAATTATTGTAAAATTACAACAATGCAAAGTAGTTATTAGTAGTAAATCTTCAGATCACATATTGGTCATAAGGGAGTCTTTACTTCTTTCACATCAATGTATAGTCCATATTCATAAATTGATGAAACTTGAATATAAAACAGTATAACATCTGCATGAGACTACCAACTTTTAAACGACAGAGACAATCAAAGACCAAAGAAGAAAATTAGACAACATCAGTTCAGTTCATTTAATTACTTTTACAGTTCTTTGATATATGTTATGGTCATTTTAGACATTAAGATTTCATATTTAGCTAATGATGGGATAACTTTGTTTTTAAATTCCAGACACAACGAAATTCAAGTCTTCATGATGCGACTCAAATATTTGAAATTGCAACACCACATCTGGGATATATTTCAATTAAGTCTACGTTGGATTTTGAAAAAGTAAAAAAATATGTTTTTCGAATTTCTGCGACAGTAAGTATACACTTTATTTTCTTCGTTGATTTTGTCTTTAATTCTTTTTTTATTTATTACGTATGCATTTAAATCGGTTCTGACCAGCTTGAAAACAACATATTGGTGAAATTTGTCTTTATATCAATTCGGAACATTAGACTTGGCATTTTACATTGAATAATACGAGAAACAGATTTTACCGCTTTACTCCCCTTGAAAAAAATATGTATCCGACCTCGAAAGTTAAATTTACTAATTATAAAATGCTCTGTCAACCTTGCATTGTAAAATTTGAACATCTCGAATCGATAAATATCGTACAAAAGACGCGGTATGCTGGAATCTATCTTTATAAAAATAAGGAGATGTGGTATGATTGCCAATGAGACAACTATCCACCAAAGTTCAAATAAAGTGGATTTAAGTAATTATAGGCAACCGTACGGCATTCAACAATGAGAAAAATCCAAACCGTATAGTTGGCTATAAAAGGTCCCGACATGTAAAATATTAAACAATTCAATTGAGAAAACTAACGGCCTTATTTGAAACAAAACAATTTACGAAAAACAAATATGACAGATTTGAATCAACGACAACAACTGAACTACAGGCTCCTTGCTTGAGACAAGTACATATAGAATGTATGTGGGTTTGAAGGCACCAACCCTCCCCTACCTTAGGACAGCGATGTTACGGCAAAACACGAGACCAAACTTTGCAAAAGAAATAAACGAAAAACAAATATGAGAAACAGAAAAAAAACAACAACCACTCAATTACAGGCTCCTGACTTGGACAGGCACATAAAGAATGGGGCGGTTTAAACATGTTTGAAGGCACCAACCATCTCCCTAACCTGGGACAGCGGTGTAACAGTACAACATAAGAACAAACTATAAAAATCAGTTGACTATAGCGATTGCACAAGCAATAACAATAATTAAGATTGTCCTTTTTAAAGTTTGGTCATACTTACAACTACTATTTCTCGAATTTATCATCGACATCAATAGATAAATAACACAGGTGATAGATAAAATTGTTATCCCGAGAAAAGGTTGATAATGTTTTGCGGAGAGGTAACAAGGTATTTATTTAATTTATTATACCGAATGTTCTGTTATCATTGCCTTTAATTAAATTAAAAGTTGTAAAACTATATCAACCATCCATATTTAATAAAATTCACAGTTGACCAAGCGTCTCCATGAAGGGTAAAATAATATAAGCCAAGGGATAGAGTGGAGTATCTCACTCGTATTAACCAATCAAAATCTTGCATTTGAACGTGAAGTATGATAATGTCAAATGTCTATAATGTTTTGATTTCAAACTTATTGATATAGTTTTGCAAAATTCATTGATTAGGACCAGGCAACAGATATTTCTTTAAGACGTACAAGTACTGTCACTATGACTATTGACGTGACAGATGGAGATGATCTTGGTCCTGTTTTTGTCTACAATGGCTGTTTTCGAGTGGATGATGTTTGTTTCAATCCAACCTATACGACAGAAATATCACCCAATTCAACTGCAAGTATTGGTACAATATAACACGAAAAGAATACATTATTTGTAATTAGGATTTTCAGTCAAAAAACTTTCGAGTACGATTATCGTACACAGTATCAGAATCAACCAATCAAAATACTGGATATGGTGTTTCCAGCACAAATTTTGTACTCGGAGTACTCAGTAAAGTTTGATGCGCACATGTCGAGAAATAGATAATACAAACAAGACAATTTAGAATTTAAATGTATTTATGAAAAAAGGAAACAAAGGAGATGGTACAATATAGGGTCTAGCGTCGCACACAACCTTCTTTTGTCAGCAAATAGATAATAATAAAATACACTTCCTGGTTTTTATAGGCGGTTTTTATAAGCATATGTGTGTCAAACTGTCACATTTTTGGCAAATTCGCCATTTTACTGAATTCACTGTCTTTCCATGGCTTTCCAAGTCATTGGGAAATATTTTGAACTAAAACCCCAAATTTTTATAATGGTATATAGGTTCAACATTTGATTCTGCAAATTTGAGTTCAAATACAGTTTATTTTAGGCCCAATCAATTAATTCGTTAATTGTCAGTTAAACTATTCCTAACTATATACTATCAATTATTTATGTTACTTATATAACATTTCAACAGTTAACGGGCCTTTACAAAATTTTAATCATTCACCCCGCAATGTTTGTGGGTATATAGGAATCACCATGTCCGTCTATCTGTCTGTCCGTCCGTCCCGCTTCGTGTCCGGAGCATGCCTTTTGAACCGTAAAACTTATGTTAACCAAACTTGGTATGGAGTTGCATTATGGGCTGAGGGTGTGTCATATACCAAAGTCCAGTCACTCTGAACCCTATGATAGTAAAACCTTATCTGATTTGTGTCCTTCACATAACTTTTGTACTATAGAACTTATGTTGACCAAACTTGGTATGCCGATGCATCATGGGATGAGGGGAGTCATATATCAAAGTCATTCTGACCTTGAATTTGACCGTTGTAACTTATGATAGTAAAACATTGTCTGATTTGTGATTTGTGCATAACTTTCATATTGTAGCACTTAGATTGACCACAATTTGTACGCAGAAGCATCATACTGACCTTGACTCTGACCTTTAAGTTGTCAATTTACAGTATAAAAACCTCAGACTTTGTTCCTTGGTCAGTATAATCTTTCAGATTGACCTATCAGTAACGATGTGTCAATCTAACACAGAGGCAATTATTATATAAAATGAATGACTGAAAACCAGAAATTCCACAGCAGCAACTAAAATGCATGAACGGGGTATAAGTCCCGCTATGCGGACAGCTCTAGTTGATCGTGCCTTAAAATGTATCCTGTAGCTCTACATTAGTCATTTTCGATTTGGTTAATACCGTATCAATGGTCTCTATTCTTAAATGAGTGCTGGAACTGATTAGATGTTTGTCATTCATTAATATATGTTATAGAATTTAGTCGAGCTTTCTTCCGGTTGAGTTACTTTTGCTCAACTCGATGCCCATGAAAATAAAAAATGCCTTTAAATCAAAATTGCTTAAAAATATCAGCTTTCAACACTTTTTCTGTAATGTCTGTTTTAATTGATTTAATTTTTTACATAGTCGTATTAAAAGCAGTTACATATCAATTTTAAGTCAAAACCAATTGCCCCAATGATTCAGTTGGGTTAGTAATTGTTAGCACTATGAGTATCTTTAAATAAATAGTCTAGGTTAATTTATGATAAGATGGAGAAACTTTACTATATCAGTACCAGTATAATGTGTGTCCAAAATAAAGGTAAACACGTACAATGTTAACATTCCCGCCGGTGTTGGACATTGTTTTGCATATGCAATCCGTTGACAATACTGGTTACCAACTATTTGTAATCAGACCATTACAAAAGGGTAAAAAATACATGTACACAGTGTCATTTATTCTAATTTAAGTGATTTTCCCTCAGGCAACACAACTTATTCTAAGGGCAGCTGAAGACCAGAGTACGGTAGATTCCATAAAAACTGAAGACCAGGACACTTTTAATTCAAGTATACAAATGAGCATTGTAGAAAGTAAGTTTTGAAATGTTATAAAAAAATAAACTTGAATGCAAATCCTCCATCATGCATGATACCACTGTGTACAAAATATTGATATCTAAACTGTTTATCAGGAAATTTGCGCGTGAATAATTTACCTCGAAATTTAACCATATACAAACATGTTGCTGTTCATTTATATGGATTGTACAATGCCATGAAATCCAAACCGAAAACAAAACCCGACAAGAACAAAACGATATACCTTAATTGTGTTTGTTGTGAACAAAATTAAAAAATCAAAATTCCATTTAAATAATCCACTGCATACCAGTATATGTCAGAACATTAATGCTATCCTGCACGTCCAGTTATGTAGTGTATTTTATCAAAGCTCATTCATACTGAAAAACGGAGACATAAGGACTAAAACAAATATATTTACTAACAGGTTTCTTGTGAGATCATTTTGTCAAATAAAACATTTCTGTTTCAAAAGATTATGTTGTATTGTCGTATAAACAGTCAACGGATATATACTGGAATTAAATTCGATTCATTTCGATTTTAATTTATTGGATTTGAAGGAATCTGGACTAATATATAAATAAAATGATATGGTATGATTGCCAATGATACAACTTTCCATCAGTGAACAAATGTCGTATTATGTTGTGTAGTAATATTGATCTAATTCTAGAATGTAGATCGAAAATCCATATTTAATACAATTTCGTGATCTTGTTTCCATTTAGCCTGTATAATACGACAAATAGTGGATCATTTTCAAGTGTTGTAGTATCGCAAACTGAACCCTTTGGAAGCAATGACGTTAATATTTTGAAAATCATTATAAAGGTAAACAAAGTTAGAAGACCATCGAGCTATCAATAAAAAAGACAATGAAGAATCTATGAACTGTAAGAAATCTAAAAAAAAAAAGTTTTAAATTCTTCAGCTTTTATAGAACCATCCAATGATTTGTTGTTGATCTGTATTTGTTTGGCCTATAAATGGTTTTCTGTTGATGCTAACTGTTTTGTGACTACATCTTCCCCGGCAACAGTCTCAAGCTCAGCGAGAACAGATTCTTGTTGACGTGAATAATAATGCATAACGACGTTAATAATAATAATAACGAAGACCAATTTTACTGCACAAAACGCGCTGTGAAAAACTCAAAAGGACCAAAATCAAACCAAACCCTGACAAAAAAAAATTTCAAAAACTTCATAACAACCACTTTCAATTAAACAATTCCTCGATACTCTCTACTTTTCTTTACAGGCTACCGAGTTGACAGACAACAGGCGTTTCAGTCGAGCTGTTATCAACGTACACATTAACCCATCAAATATGTCGTGCTTTGAAAAAGGTAATATAACGCCATATAAATGAAACATAATTTACAGAATAAAAGTGAAAAGATAACCAGAGATATACAAAAACTTTTCTTAGTTTTCTATATTTTGTCTGTGCAAATGATATTATCTAATTTAGATATTTAATTTCATTTATACGAGCAATTTTCCGAATAAACCGTCATAGCTATTTTCTTTGGAAGCTAAAGATGAAATGGGTCATGAAGTATAATTGTTTTCAAAGTTGAATGGCAATAAAAGGAGATACTGGGTATACGACAATAAACTATTGCCTTCAGTATCTCAAGTTCTGAATCGTTCCTAGTCTATAATGTTGTGTATAAATCAAAAAGAAATTATACAAAATATGCCATCAACACCATTTTTATAAATCAACAACATTGTTATATAAGACAAAAATCGACGATATGGTAGTTATTTTTGTAGTAATATTGATAAAAGTGTTTGATCTTTTTTAATGGATTTGAAAGATTCTGGATTATGTTTATTTAATTAATTATCTGCGTTGGAATAAGTTCAGTCTTCATATTTTCACTAATTTTAAGGATGAGCCGTGCACTTTACAATTGAAAAGGTGGCAAATAGATATCGGGTAGGTATTTTTGGAAGTTCCCATGTTGAATACCTTTACGGCGTTTCTGACTTGGGGCAGGCACTTGCACACGAAAATCTAACTTTTCTTGGAGCATCCGGGGCCTATGATTGTGGTATAAATGATTAAAGCATTCGTTTTATTTACTTTTAGAAATAGTGAATACATGTGCAATGAAACCATGCAGTAATGTTGCCGCGGTAGTGGGAGCGGTTTTAGGAATTCTGTTGGCCCTTGTCATCATTATTCTAGTGGTGCTCATCATAAAACTGAGAAAACAAGGTAAAATGTATTTTATGTCACAAAAGAAGAATGTGTTTTCTAATTGAACATAATCAAAATCATAACAACAATAACAACAATTCAATTTAACAAAAGAAAAGGAAACACGATAAGAATTTCTATATATGAAGAACAAAAAATGAAATCACATTATTGTATGAATCTCCTTGACACAAACAAAATACACAGATTCTTCAAGATCAAATAAATATATGTAAATAATAAAACATAAATCAGACTCTGTCGTTTCGAATTATGGTTTCGAATTATGCTGGAAGAAATGTCCCACGTTGTTTTATATTGTGCCTAGTGGTATCTTCAATTTTATTTTTATAATATTTTTTTCAGGTGGCATGAAAGAACAACAAACTCCCGTCCAGCAAAACAATGGTTAGTTCTAAAACTGGTGATAAAGTAGTGTCATTATTTTTACAAATTGTATTTTAAAGTAGAGGTAACAGTAGTTTACCAATGTTCAAATCTTATAAATCCATTAAGAAGATACAAATCGAGGTAAAAAAAAAAACTGAGGGAATAGTATGAACTCCTAAAAGAGCAAAACCAGGTATTTCGACGAGATAGCGTCTCCTACTATGCCTGCTCCAGACGCCATGCGAATCCACATTCTTTTATCTAAAACTGTTATGAAATATACTATTTTCGTGTAAAGGTAAATTAAAAGAGGAAGCCGTCCGATGTTACAAAATCATGAATTCTTTTTAACGTCGAACAGATTTTTTGTTGGTAGAATATTGATATTCCAGAAGTAACCGTTTCATTATTTTCGCAACACATCAACAGATAAATCTTGTCTAAATGTTTACCATTGCAGTTATTATAACAGTCAATGGCCGAATATCCATTGCAGAAATATGTGAACAATCGTTACGTATGAATTTTAAATTCTGTACAGGGCTTGACATATACGATATAGTTGAAGACTGTGTGTTTATATCTAGATGAAATTAGGTTCTCTGTGTCGTTGGTTTTCATTCCTATTGAAGTATTCCCCACATCTCTTATTGATATTTACTATTATGAAATGTGAATAATAAAATAATGCGTTCATCATTTGTGAGAAAGTAAATTTTAAGTGTCGTATTCATTTTGACTTGCATTCAATTTTTAATTGGTAATTGAAAACATAAATGCATTTACTTTGAAACTAACGAAAGTGTCCGACACGAATTGTGTAACAAACATGTTTGATTTTGATATTTAAGTGACAAAAACTCTCGCCAGTACCATTTGTTTATCCTTAAACTAGCAATAAACACATGCAAGCGCAGGGATGAAGGCCACCTTTAATATAGATTTTAAACAAGTTTCTTAATATATCCAATAGTCCCTGAGTTTGTTTGTATTGCTTTCCTTATAGACTCGCTTAGATAAAACATTTTGGGGCATAAGATATGTGCAGAAATTGTACTATAAGAGTAGATATGCTAATGTGAGAAAAACCTTTCAACTTTCAGTTCGAACCACGCGTTTTCCTGAAAAATCTGCAGACGCGTTCTTTTGGGATTATAGATGACGAAGGGATTTACTTTGTATCACAGAACGAATTTGCCACCTTTTCCGCAAAACATGTGGCTCAAACTGAAAGAGATATAGTTTAGATTAAAATGCTTGTTCTCTCGTTTTACTCTTAAAAACATATATGATTTCTGCTTTAATGTATAAATGCATTTTGTATACACTTTTTAATGATAAGATCTCCAAAAAGCCATGGTGAAACGTCAAAAATACTCACACTGAGTATGATTATCTCCCATTGAATATACAATAAAAAAACTATGCCCAAAGACTAATCGTTCATCGTATGATAATATTATCTTTTACGAATCCAACATCTGCATAAATTCTAGCAAATACTACCATGAAAAGTACGAACTTTTCACTGCAGAATACAGAAACAACACAAACGTGTAGACTATAAACAGACACAAAAGACAAATGTTCAATCAATTGGCCGGAAGGAATGTATAAATAGGTCAAGTAATTCGGGTAGTCAACAATTTTGGTAAACAAATTAGTCAAAAGAGAACAAAAATGAAGTTGTTCACCAAAGAGAAGTTAACTCGAAGTCTGTTCATCTTAACTGTAAAAATATAAAAATATACACCATTATGCTATTGTAATTTTTAGACAAATTAAAAAATAAAGGGCTTTAATAAACCATACTCGGGAAACGGTTAAATTAAGGCGACACTAGTCTACCGATGCTCAAATCTCAAACAGAGCAAACATCAGTTATTTTCAGTGCCATTTCGTAGAGTAAAACCAAGAATCAATTAGTTATCCGTATGATGCAGTCTGTACGCAAAGTTGCAATACATGCATGTGATCTCGACTTTTTAAGTGTTAGTGTTTATATTTATATTTGGCTGTTGTTCCTTTCATCAGTTCTTTTTTATAATACTATAAATAACATTACATTATTTGAACATTTGAATCAGGGTTAGCTTTATAAGTATTCTGTCAAACCTCATAAATTATAGCAAAGTAATTCCCTATTATTTCTAATCAATAGTTATTAAGAGATTTTTCTCAAATTAACATTCTCTACAAGTGTTTTCTGAAATCAAAGACCAAATATGAAAATAGACTAGTACTCGATCGCACATCACAAACTGCTTCCGATCTCCTCTTTCTTAACTACCGGTAAGTTTGCAATATCTTTCAGGAGTATTTAATAGACTTTCAATTGAAATTGATTGTGTCAAATCCCTGCCGTTCACCTCGCTCTTTACCACTTTGTGTATTTCTATATCTTTTAGGACTTTCTCCTGGACAAACAGTTGAAAGCAGACAGTCATCTAGGTAATGAATAATTTACAATTACGTAGGTAATATTTGATATACAATCAATTAGGTCATGTATAATATACAATCACTCAGGTAATGTATAATATACAATCACTTAGGTAAAGTTTAATATACAATCACTCAGATAATGTATGATAAACAATCACTCAGGTAATGTATATTATACAATCACTCAGGTAATGTATAAAATACAATCACCCAGGTAATGTATAGTATAACAATCATGCAGGTATTGTATGATATACAATCACTCAGGTAATGTATAATATACAATCACTTAGGTAATGTATAATATACAATCACTCAGGTAATGTATAAAATACAATCACCAAGGTAATGTATAATATACAATCAATCAGGTTAAGTTAAATATACAATCACTCAGGTAAAGTATGATATACAATCACTCTGGTAATGTATAATATACAATCACTTAGGTAATGTATAATATACAATCACTCAGATTATGTATGTTATACAATCATTCAGGTAATGTATATTATACAATCACTCAGGTAATGTAAAAAATACAATCACCCAGGTAATGTATAATATAAAAATCATGCAGCTAATGTAAAATATACAATCACTCAGGTAATGTATAATATACAATCACTCAGGTAATGTATAATCTACAATCACTCAGGTAATGTATAATATACAATCACTTAGGTAATGTATAATTTACTATCACTCAAGTAATGTATAATACACAATCACTAAGGTAATGTATAATTTACTATCACTCAGGTAATGTATAATTTACAATCACTTTGACAATGTATCATATACAATCACTCAGGTAATGTATTAAATACAATCACTTAGGTAATGTATAATTTACTATCACTCAGGTAATGTATAATTTACAATCACTTAGACAATGTATCATATACAATCACTCAGGTAATGTATTAAATACAATCAATTAGGTAATGCATAATATACAATCACCCAGATAATGTATAGTATAAAGATCATGCAGGTTATGCATAATATACAATCACTTAGGTAATGTATATTATACAATCACTCAGGTAATGTATAATATACAATCACGTAGGTGATGTATGATATAAAATCATTCAGGTAATTTATAATATATTATCACTCAGGTAATGTATGATATACAATCATTCAGGTAATGTATAATATACAATCACTCAGGTAATGAATGATATACAATCACTTAGGTAATGTATGATATAAAATCATGCAGGTAATTTATAATATATTATCACTCAGGTAATGTATAAAATACAATCACTTAGGTAATGTATGTTAAAAATGGTTCTTCTTTTTGCGTTTACATTGTCACTTATCTTTCAATCAAACCAAACTGTTTATGGAGAATTAGATGCCACTTATGAAATTGGTAACATATGCATTTATATTCTATAGTTTCGTGACAAAAAAGAGATGAAAATGTTATCTGACCTATAGTGGAAAAAATTAATACATTTAAAACTTTTTTTCCTGGTTAGTTTCGACACAGAAAAACAAAGAAAAGTATAATCTCGGAGATGTAATGGTGATTGACTTATGTGTTAAACTATCGAGAATAACATTCATATTTGGTGCCGGTGATGACAATGTTCAAATATCTTACAAAAAGTATATTTATTGTTAATGTTTTTTTTATAGTATTTTAAATAGAATATATTTACGAACTTTAAAACCTGACCAATACAATTATAAAAATCACAAATGTCATACCCCGTTTTAATAATGATTTTACAAGTTAAGCCAATCTTTCAAAACAAATTTTTACAACTATGCAATAATTTCTGTTAGTTGTACTTGGATTTTAAGAATTAAGGTATATTGCACATATGGTCAAGAATACAGTGCAAATGCATGATTAATAAAGCAGATCTGGACAAATGTACAACACCAACCATTTCTATGGTATTATTACTACGTCGGTGCCGCTGATGGTGGACTATTTTCCCCTAGAGTTTTACCTGTAAAAGGGCCAGCGCTACCTTACTTACATTATTGTAATAATAAAACTTTTTTTTCTGTTTAAAAGTTGATAATTGTTTAACAGAAGTGAAAATAATTCACAAACGGTCAAAATGACCCCCTTTTCTTTTTTAATTTTAACTGTTTTTTTAATCTTTTCGTTCGCTCTTGATAGGTAGTTATCGTAGAACATTTTGTACAAGAAATAAAATTGTCAGTGATTATGACTGTTCTATGGTTTTTTTTTACAGAGAGTATGATGAAATCGGAATGAGATCACCCGAAAATCCTTATGACGAGTTACACAATGGCAACCACTATATGGAACATATCTGAATTCCAAGGAGAAAAACACATTTTAGAATGTTAATTCATTTACAACATGTATGTTTATAACCCCCAAAAATTGACATTTTGTGTGCAACTTATTCAAAGAAAGGCAAAAGAACCTAACGTCACAGTTTCCTAAAAGTTGAGCAAATACGGCTTAAGATATTTTTGAATGGGGTAGAAAAACCATAGATTTGAATAATTCAACATTTTATTAACGTATGAAGTTCAGCTGAACCCTGTCAGACGGAAATGTATACCTTTCAATCATTTTATGTACCGAACTCGGTTGACCTATAGTTACTGAGGAACTCATATAATCACGAAATACATCGGGTATCCCTATCCGAAACCCACAGAGGGATCCGAGTCCCAAGGAACAGTTACACAAGACCGCTAACGGTGGGTAGGTAAAATTTGGATCATATTCCCCCGGAGGATTATGCTCCATGGGAATCGGATCAAAATTTTACTTAACACACCGCTTGTATTTTTCGTGTAATTACTCCTCGGGATTCGGATCCCTCCACAGATTTCGGATTGGAATACCCGGTGTGCGAAACCTTTCGCTGATCACTGAACCATGAATTCAACTCAATATCTGGTAAACACTGTCTTACGGACAAAGATACATTGCAAGCAATGCATCTATTTACCAAATACTTTTGTTCTTTAACTCATAACTGACAAAATCAAGAGGTAAATAAACACTAAACAGTATTCTAAAAGGCCACTGAACCATGAAAATGAGGTCATGGGCGATGGACATTTAACAGAGTGAAACCTTAGACCATAAGGCATCTGATTACTCTATCATCTGAAATATGTAATGCTGTATACAAAAAGCGTATGTCGCCTCCGCCACCGAATTGGCATCCAAATTTCTCGCATACTGTCACATTCGTTGCAGGCGAACCAATAATAAAAACCCCATTAAAGAATTCATGAAGTTGGCAAAGCACTTAACCTGCTTCCATAAGATAAAATGGTGGCTGAACTATACACAACAACTTACACGAAGATAAAATCTGTACATAAAGCTTGAATAAATTTTGAACAAGATTGATATGAAATATAAAATGATTTTATCTTTCTGAAACACTAAATGTATGTAACTTTTAAATAGCTATTGGATGCTAGGCCTTTTAACTTTTCCAGCTGCACATTTTGACCGTATTCAGAGTAATTTTAGAGGAGTAAACACAGCCATTTTTGTGCAATTTTTATGATGAACCTTATAAGATAGGCAAAAGTAACCAAAGGGACATCCAAACTCATAACATCATGGCAAAAAACAAAAAACGACGAAGGACCGACAACATTACACAGAAAAAACTTAGATCTGAGCAACACGAACTCTACCCGGGGGTGATTTCAGGTGTTGCGGAAGAGTAAGCTAATCCTGCTCCACATGTGACACCGTCGTCTTGCTCAGGTAAGTACAAATCCGGTGATAAGTCTAATTCGGAAGGTCACACTCGAGAAAAAGAGGACGGGATTGTGGTTACGACAACATATCCGTCGTCATCTGTGAAATAGATATTCCATAACTGTCAACTAACTCGTGGTGGCGTCCCTAAAACTTTCGAAGGGATGATTTCAACTTCTCTTCTTAGAACTCTTGGTTTAATAGCTTCCTTTTTAGCAGCAAACCTGTATCAAGGAAATTGGGATAGGAAATGCAAGCTCTGGAATAACGTATCAACTGGGAGATATACACTTCATATGCAGGCGCTGCTGGAATGTTACTACATATAAATGGAAAGTTCACAATTTGGAAGCTGAAATCATCTCTTTTGTCGTAAAGTTTTGTTCTTAACCGACCCTCATTGTCATTTTCTAGATGTAAATCAAGATATGAAGCAGACTTAACTGTATCTGTTGTATCCTTTATTTCAAGTTCAATGGGATACATGCGTTCATCATAGTCACCAAACTTTGAATTATCTAGTAAGAGGACATCATCTATATAGCGAACATGAAGTTAGAGGATATTGCTAGTTTCTTTTCATTCTTCCTAATAAGCTCCTGTGTGAAGTCAGCCTCATATGAATAAAGGAACTAGTCGACCAGAAGAGGAACACTTTTTTTATGAAACTTTAGGAGTGTATCACCATAATGCATAGCTATGATTCCTTGTCCGGATTAAATTGGCAATGCTCATAGACAAACGGAATATTACGACTGAATTATGATTCTGATTTTGTGTACATAAGTATAAGATGATAACTAACAGATCGAGTTTCAGTTTCGTTCAAGTTGATCTACTGTTGACGGAAGTGCGGCCCTTGAAAATGTCATGAAATTAGTATTTTGTCTGGACTTTTTTTTATAATGCCTGCCAATCAGATGATGGATGGTGGTTTTTCATCAAGAAAAGAAATTGATTCATATTCAGGACAACAACATTTCGGTGATATGAATAAGGGATTTTAACATACTATTTCACAAGGTAACAGTCCAAAAGAAAGACATGTATCACTTGTACCCGGACACATTATTTTGACTGCGAGCCGACTTGTCGTAATCCAAAATGTCGCGTAATTAGATGAGAAGTAGGAAAATTAATATCATTTCAAATTGCAAGTCACTGGTTTGATCCGACTGTGAATAAAACCCTAAATCTCCTGCATTCGATGCGAGCACGCTGCTACGAGACCATTGAGGAGGTTGCTTGCAAATCTTAAGCTGATTTTTAGTACTATAGTATATAATAGTTACTTATAGATTGAGTCTGCGTTTTTGGCGGAATAATGATCCTAAGAAATACAAAATGTCATATTAAAATAACTTGTCAAAACATTTTTTGTTATTCCTGCAGATGTTAGATTTATTTTTCATTTGTGTTTAATGATTACTTACAGATAGAGGTTATATTTCGTTACGTTGAACGACTTTTGGCAGAATGACAGCTGAATTTTAGAGATCAGGCTACATGCAAAAAGGAAAAGGGGAGGGAGAATTGTCGTACCGACGCATCTAATTATATTTTGATTATTAAACCAAATCCTATACTGCTTCATTCTGATAAATCTACATGTTGATGTAAAACCACATTTTGATAAGAAAATTGTTGATTGCTTAACGTTCAGTAGCAAGTATTAAATGCATATTCAGGAAGAGAGCAAATTAACAGTAAATACAATTGACCACTTTAGGTTCTGCAAGGTTGGTTCACCTGAATGAAGAGTGGAAAATTTAAAACAATCATTACAAAAAGAGGATATGTAGGAAAGGGGTAGTTTTGCATAGCCACAAAACACCTACGGGTCCCTAAAAGGAGTTGTTGCAATGGTTCGTTAACTTGCGGAGAGCGAGGTACATGAGGAATCTAATTTAACGTCCTCATTCCGATTGGACGGAACCGGATTCGGTCAACAAGCCTACTAGTTGTAAACTGTGGAAAAATTTCAAGTTGGCAAACATTGCAGAAGTCCAGTAGAAAGCCCCAAAAAGAAAATTTTAGAAATGAAAAGTTGTGATTGTGTTTAGTTTAGTTTTATTCCAATAAGAAATATAGGATATTTGTATTTACATACTTCCAATATGTAAAATCATAACTTTTTGGCAATGGGAGTCTCTTAAAATCTTTTTGATTATATAAATAGGATAGACAGTACACACATTCTTATGTTATAAACTGTTGTCAGTTTAGAGATCAAGACACTACTTTTATAACATTAAATATAAATCTGTAAGGTAAACGTCAAAGGTACACACGGCCAAGATACCTTTTCTAAACATTTAAAAGAGCCCATGTCTCTTAAAAAGTTTAATTCGGTACTTTTGGTTAACGATCTTTTTATTTAACATCGCAGAATGATTCAGGCATGACTCATCTATCCCATCGTTTAGCATTTAATATCTAAATTAATATGTTAGGCTCATGCTTGTTCACACTGTACGGACTTCATTAACAGTTTGCTCCTAACAAAAAAACCCTGCTCTACCAGAAATACCGGCACGACGTAAGTTTTACGGTCCTCATTATGAATTGGTTGACCGATACGATGCATTTGTGTCTCAACTCACTAGCGTCTTGTTTTCGCTGTCTTATCTGTAATTCTCGTTTGGGACAGTTTGACTTGGTGTAGATTCTAATTTGCATCATGTAAGGGGGGTGCATACATACCAGGAGACGTTTGCCCTGTCGACGCACCAGGTCTTGCTCGTTTTGGAGTTTATGAAATTTCATCAGGTTTTGAATGCTTAGTTTTATCTAAATAATCGATTTATAAGATTTGAGCATCAAAAAAACTACTGTTACCTAAAAATTCATCTATGATTTGTTCGCTACTATTTTGTTTTCGTATCATTTTGCATGTGTGTTTTCTTTTAATACATTCTATTTTAGAATTCATATTATAAACCTCTGTTTTACGACAAAGTGTTACGCATTGCCAATAGAATATGCAGAGAGATATATATCAGGGTGAATTACATGCATGATCAACCGTATTCATTGTAAAATTGAAAGACTGAATTTTACTAAATCACCTTGTGTGATCTTTCACACACTTGTGTCAATTAATTACCGGCTATCATCCTTCTTTTCAAGTGATACATGTCACAAAAACTAAATCAAGTGGCTAAAAATTTACTTCCTTAACGTAATGCTCATAAAATCTTGGGATTTGGAGTTCGGAAGTGTTTTACTTATTTGACAGGCACTTGGCATAATCGTCTACTTGTAATATCAAAGTTTGTAAAAGACCCCATTACTACAGAAAAGAGATCTAACTACAGAAAAAGCGACGGTTTTTTTAATGCTTTGAATATATTTTCGATGTTCGTTTTCCTGGTAAGTTTAAACTATCAAACTTAAAACTTATTCTATTAATCAAAACATTCCAATTCACATGTTGCAAAGTGAATGTTTATCTTTATTTAAGAATCTACAATTGAACACTCCTACATTATCACCATTTCACACAAAAAATCTTTATTATTTTATTCAATGTTATTTGAAACACATGATCATGATAATTAAGTAGACATTCGTTTTTCATATCATCTAACAGTTCATACTTTAAATTACACTTATATTAATGCTTAATACACATATATACCATCAAGTCTAGAACTATTCATACCTTTTATAATTAAGACTCTAGCTTTTACCACAAAAAACAGTGAATTTCGTACTTTTTTAATCAAAATTAGGATTTTTTACAATTGTCATAAATTTCTCAAAACCTAAAACTTGAACGTAATTTTTATTCAGATCAGATCAAAGTCAATCATTTATCCATATAGGTATGTTCCTGTCCTTCCTCCTCCAGTTATAATTTTGTGAAGTTTCGAAACAATTCAGTTAACTTTATTAACTTTTCAAACAGCTTAAGGATTATTCATAAAGGGTGCAGCTCAAAGTAATCTGCATTAAAAGTATACAATACAATAAATTGGTAGGTTTTTTTTCTCGAGCGTGTATTATTTTCCCATTGTTCAGTGCCGTGTAATTTTAAACATATTAAGAGTGTTTGCTGCTCTTGTTTTTGACTTTTTGTTATATGTTCGGAATCCTCTGGTTTTATACATGAAGTGCAATTAGAAGTCTTGCTTGCTAATCCCTATTTTGTTTCATAATTTTAATGTATATAGTTTAAAAAGCTATTTCAAAATCTTATAATATTCTTAATATTTTTCATAGTTTTTTTTCAAAGGAAAAAGGTACAAATGTTAAATGTATTAAAAATCTAGAGAATGCATTTCCCTCCAAATTTCAATGGCTTATACCTCAAAAAAGAACAAGGACCTTTCATTTTTTCTGCTTTTTTATTTCTGATATTTATATACTATCAATTTATGACAGTTTGTTAAAAAGCTTGTTATTTTGAAACAGAGTGGCGAGCATCCTTAATAAATAGCTTTTGATTTTGTCAAAATGCTTATGATTGGCACATTGTTTTATTGGTTTTCAATTTTCTGCCTGTAAAACACCAAATCTAAATTTACATTGAACCGTACAATATGTAAATGGAATATTACTAACACTATTAATATTATCTATATATAACAATAGGTGACGTCAGACGTTAATGTGAACAGTTTAAATATATTCGCATAAAAAAGGGAAAAGATATCAAGGGGGAAATATAAAATAGTTAGTCAAATAAAATAGATAACACCAAGGCCAAAAAGAAAACGACGAAAAAGCAAACATGAAGGTAAAGATTGACGAATACAAAATTAATTTTTCAAGGCTTTTTTTAAATGAGAAATGTGTATATATTTCTAAGTTACAAAGGTATTTTGCCTTAACCCTATTTTTTACAACTTTTCGGAATTTTCGGTGTTAAATTCACTTAAACCTCGTCCTTCCAACTGCTTTGATTCAAACGTTGCTAATGAGTCTTATGTATAATAAAACTAGCGTCTGGCGTACACATTTATAAGCCTGGTATCTTTGATGAGTGTTTACCTGCAAGATTGCAGCCTCTACCGGTAATATTTCTTTGTGAATACAAAAAGTTTATACGGTTCATGTTGTCTTATTATCGGATGTAATACAACTCTGGAATATTTTACGAGTGCATTTTCCCAATCCGCTAAAATATTACACACTGAAAACTAATTTTCCAATTTTTTTTTAGCCGTCGAAACAAGACATGATATATGGTATCAGAAATAAAGGTTCGCGTTGTACATTCATAAGTTAGTGGGTTAAAAACTTAAAAATTGGATTGTTTTTTTTTTTTAATTTACATAAAGAGTTCGGTAT